AACGGATGACCAAGCCGTTCGAACGGGCTGATGTTTTTCACGAACGGATGAGCAGGCCGTTCGAACGGGCTGATGTTTCCGACGAACGGGTGAACAAGCCGTTCGAACGGGCTGATGATTTCGACGAACGGATGACCGAAGCCGTTCAGACGGATGCAAATTTTTTCTAAACGGCTGACAAACGGCTTGTAAACGGAAAGCCGTTAGTGTACGTCTTTCCGCGAGAGGTCATTTTTGTATGGGGTTATATGGAACTCTTTCCGGTATTTCTTCCGATTAAACTTGATTCTCCTGAATTTGTGTGTTGTGATCGATTGTCCTAGGCATATATGTAGGCATATATCCTAGGCATATATCCTATATGTAGGCATATATCCTAGGCATATATGTAGGCATATATGTATGCATGTATGTGTGCATGTATGTATGTCTGTATGCAAAGTATGTATGTATGCATGCATATATACATACATACTTTATTTATTCCAGAAGCAGACTATATATACACTGAAAAGGAAAGGGAAACAGATGCTTCTAGAAAAGGAAGTTAAGATGTTATCCCTATGTGAAAACTCCCTAAAAAATAAGTCATGTCGATTATTTTGTGAGAAGACTTAGTTTAGCTTCAGATACAATAGCAACAGTGAAATTTTTCTGGTAGGATTATGATGGTTATCCAGTTGATTAGCATCAGAATTTTTGAGAAATGTCGATATCACACATTACTGAGGAATATGCTTTTAAACATTAACAAACAAAGTGAATTAGTACCAAGACAGTTTTACATCATAATTGTAATCAAGCAAGCCTACTAGGTACTAGCAATTTAACATCAGCTGCTTTATCTTGCTATTCAAGTTCCCTATTGTAAGTACTGAAAAGTACAGTGAGGTCATGCTAGTTACCTCAGTTATTACTTAGTCATTTAGATCAGTTGCTCTGTAATCACAGCTCAGCTGGTTAACACATAAAATTAATATAAAATGCATTTGTATTCTTAGAAGCTATTTTTCTTTCTTCCCTTTCCTCCGAGTACCTTGTTTGCTGGCTTTAGCATCTGTTTATGTTTTCCTCCAGACAGCCTTTTGTTTGTGTTTAATATAATTATTTATAACATAACCAAAGTAAAGCGCGCGCTCTGATTGGTCAATTTAGCGTCCCCCATTTGCCCATGGGTGTACGCTGCTGACATGAGCAAATGCAAAGACTATTTTTCCGCGTGCACTTGTTTTTTCTGGTCACGTAAGATTTGTTAAATAAAAGGGAACTCTTTAGCTACGATGTATCAATGTTATGTTATAAAACAAACGGTAAACACCACAGCGTACACTATTGAGTTATGGATGCACTTGGGAGGTTTGCTAAGCACTCAAGAAGCTAGAGTCGCTCTCGGCTATTGCCTCGAGCGACTCTTATGCTTTTTTCATGCTTAGCAACCTCCCGCATGCATCCATAACTCAATAGTATACGCTGTGGTCTTTACCATTTGTTAAATTTGAGTTTTATTCTATAAGTTATTAGCTTATATATATATAATTTATCATATAATAGTTGTGTATTTTTGAAAGTATTAATTATTAATTAGCTAAGGCTTGTAAATGGAGGGGCGGTAGCCTCATGGTTGATGCGCTCGACTTTGGATCAAGTGGTCCAGGTTTGAGCCCTGGCTGGGAAAGTTGTGTTGTGTTCATAGGCAAGACACTGTACTCACACAGTGTGCCTCTCTTCACCCAGGTGTTTAAATGGGTAACGGCAAATCTAATGCTGGGGGTAACCCTGTGATGGATTAGCATCCCATCCAGGGGGGAGTAGAAATACTCCTATTCGCTTCATGCTAAAGAAACTGGAGTTAAGCACTGCCCTGATGGGTCACTTGGCTCGTAAATAGACTGTACCTACCTTTAACCTAAGTCTTGCAATGATAATATGTCCCAAACATAGCTATATGTTCTGTTTTGTGGTTTAGCAGAATTACATTATTTTGTTACTTATAGACATGGGGTATTATAAAAACCTATGATATAAAAATACTCAGACTTTTTAACTCACCAATATGGCTGAATTATTAGGCAAGTGAAATATTACAACAAAACATTACTTACTTTGCCTGTTTGTACTTAGCTCAGGCATTTGTCTTTGTGAAGCAATTTTGCATTTGAAATAAAAAAGAAGTTGCTACAAGGGTTTCCTCTTCCCTTCAATGTCACCAAAATAGAAGGGTATTCTACTAAATAACTGCTGATTTGATGCTGCTAAGCTCAACTATAAACAGCAATGATTAATACAAGATGCAATGAAAGATAAAGAAGAATCAAGTTATACTCAGCAAAAACCCTGAGATTTTGTTAAAAATTGCAAGGAACAAATCAGCTTAATCAACTGTCAGGATTGTATTGAATTAATGATTTGAAATTTGTCTTTAACCCTGCTCAGGTGATGCATGTTCTAGAATGTTTATTCCTTTTTTTACTGGGACTGTATACCTGGGCATTATGATCACATCTGCTTGTTAACAGCTTTCATGTTCATCAATTTTAAGTTGTGTTTTTTCAATTGTGGTCTTTTCTGATGGTTGTTTTTATTTGTTTAGGTCCAGATAGGTTTCAAAATTTCAGATCAAGATGTAATTTAACAAATTCATTTTATAATCTGGTAAGTAAAATAAAGTGTTGCAGTATTATCTTGAGAATATGCTGTGAGAGTCATGTTCAGACAAAATAATAATGATTGATACACCTATTGTGGGGGGAGGGGAGGGAGGGCCTGTGCATAATTTATATGCATGATACATGTATGTGAGGAATTTGGCTTTTCAGAATAATTTGTTGGCAAGATCTCCACTACAGGGGTCAAAAAAGTGAGAAAATTCAAATCAAATCAGCCAGTCTAGGCAAATACTATTGCTTTAAAACATGGGAGTTGTTCTGTTGAATAATAAATTGTCAATTCTTGTCATTTCATGCATTGAGGGGTGCAGTGTATCTGAACAAATGTACCATTTTTGTTTCAAGTCTAAGCAATTATAAATTCCTCACCTTGGAAAATGATCCTTATTTGCTATTCATAAAAAACACATAAACACCCCAGGGTAGGGGAGACAGTAAAGGTCAAATGCCCCTCACATACCTAGAACCCCTTCCCTTTGAGGGTTAATATTGAAATATGCACATAAACAATACACAATCACCTTAGAGTGGAACACCTAGGTACTATATAATTGTATTTCGATGTATGATTTGACTTTTTTAAGGATTACCTTTAGTTTATACACAGGGCTTGACACTATACTAGCAGTTAAGCCCACTAGCTGCAGCCTAGTAGAAATTCAGTTTTGGTTTGTGGTTTTCAATTTCCACTCACCGGTTTGGCTAATAAACAAACTGAAATTGTTGTAACATCTAAGTTGTCACTTAAGCCACTTGGCTAATTAGTTGAAAAGCTAGTATTGGCCCCTGATATATCATTTTACAGGTGTGGACTAATCTAAACCCTTTTACTCCCAAGGTCTCATATAAAAATCTCTGTGCAGTCTGCTAATAAATTCTTATAAACTTCCTTGGGACAGGTTGATATTGGGTCATTACTTACAAGCCCTAATTAATATTTTTGTCCATTACTTTCAATTGGGAAACAATTAACACCGAAGCGAAAGAAATTGGAGTGAAATTCTGAGTGTTTTTAAGACAATTTAGTCATCACAAATGTTGCTGCTTGTTTATCAATGTTTGCATGCCCAAGAATGCAAAAAAAAGATTTTCAAATGTATGAAAACTGAAAATTCAAAATCAGAGATGTCCTTCTTGTCGTCCAGTGTATTATCATTGCTGTAGTCAGAAAGGTCACTGTCTCCTTCATCAGCCTGATCTTTGTCAAGGTTAAGTTTAAGAGAGTCTTTTTTTGACCAAATTCAAATCATATCCTTTGAATATTCCCGTTATTGACTGATCGACTTCATATATTTTTTTGTAAGATTGCGGAATGTTTTGTATTTGAAGTTGTGTGACTGAAGCAGAGAAAATCTAACTCTTCTGACTGTCCTCTTCAAATGTTCACAACCTATTGCTTCGAAAACTTGCACCAAAAGAAATCTGTCCTAGTTCAGGTTCAGATTGGCACTGAGTTTTAATTGATTTGATGACCTGTTTGATGACCTTTTTGTCTTTACTTTCATATGAATTCCATAAAAATCTTGTCTGTTTTTATTGAGAGAGGTTTGTTCTTTTAATATGGTCACAAAGCTTTCATACAATGTTTTGTTGTGTATAGGTAAAATTCAAGTTGTTATTCAGAAGTCTGGTCCAATTAGGCGCAAGTGGACTTTTCATGCATAGAGGTGTGTCTTAGTGCATGTGAGCCTTTTAGTGCTCATGTCACACAGCATGTCATGCTGAGGTGCAGAGTATGTCATATACTGCAGCACTGCTTCCAACAAAGCCCAACAAAAGTTACCATGTCTGCCTCTGTTTTGGTTACTAAATAAATTATGCACAAATCTGCAAATTTGCGACACAGTTAGCATGGCATGCCATGACATGTAAGCTTTAATTTTGTGTTCCCCTTAAAACTTGTTTTTCTGTGAAGGGCTAATATGTCTTCACACATGCAGGAGTTTCATTAAGGGCCAGGCACTGGGCAAATTGACCGGTTGTGAGGACAGCTTTGCCCACCTGATTTGACCATTAGCCTAAGGAGGAAAGTTTATCTTATAAAGAAGTTTAGTTCAAAGACTTTTGCCTGCCTGTGAAAACCATTTGCCCTCCTGCAGAAAACATAATGAAACCCCTGCACATAAAATACTTGAAATTGTGTCTTCTCCTCTCACAAGGTTGAAATTTTAATAATAAGCAAAAATTTCAGCGTGCAGAACAGAAGTGCAATTAACAAAGCACAAACAACTGGCCAAAAGTTGGAAAGTCTTGAGCTTCCAAAAACAGCCTTGATAAAAGTATCAAAATGTAAGAATTAACCTGTTGCTCTGAAGAAAATTCTTTTAGAGTTGATGTACATGCAGTGTGACAGTTCACACAAAAAAACAAAGATCAAATTGGAGTTTGATGTAGACCCTTTGTGTACTGGTTATTGCTATTACTCAAATTCTACCTGAGAAAGAGTGCAAAAGAAAATCTTGAAGCAATTTCTAAAAGGAAAACCCCTTGGGAAACAACACAAGGGCAAAGAGCCTCATCAGTTAACCATTAACATGGCTTTAATGAAAGCAGAGTCAAAATTTCACATGTGTACAATAAATAGGTAATGACATGATTTTTCCTTGAGTAGTTTGGGATAAAAAAGTACTAGCCTATTTGTTGAAAGACAACAAATTGTAATCACCCAACACCCTCATTGGTTAGCCTTTGGAGAATTTATTTTTTATAATTTATTCCAAATTGCACTTGAAATCATTATGGTTACCTAATGTTTATGCAAATTAATTATCAAATAAATTTCAAAGCCTGCAAACTCAATTTTCAAATGAGTGTTTTCTAATTTACCTCAATTGCTGAAGTCAGCAATGAATGAATGAAGGTTGGAAAGAGCTGCTGGGGTGTTTGTCCTCCTGCATTTCTTTAACATTTCAGAAATGCACTTTGTCTTAAAATTATTTGTTGCATGCACTGAGTATAAAACTTCCCTAAGATTTACTGTTGGTTCCCTATGTCACGTTGTCTTTTTTTGACAAATTACTGAAGGCCTGCAGCTAGTATGAGCTCTACTAATGAGCACTTTAATCTGTGCAGATTCTAAAAAAAGAAAGACAAAGAATTTCTTCAAAGGAGTATGAATGAGACACCATGCATAACTGCAGGTATGGATGTGTATTTTGCTGTTGCATCTGAGTCACATGGTTTGAACAGGTTGTGAGTTTTGCATAAATTTAGTTTCATTTTGGAATTCCCCACTAAACAGAATAGTAGTTTGCAGTATAAAATTTAGTGTTCTTGATGTCACTTACAGTAAAAAAATTCCTCCGATGATTAATAGGACTCAAACTAAAAGAGTGGGTAACCTTTCTGTCAGTACACTGGAGCCTGAGTTGAGGTCTGGGTTCAAGACCTGGTTGGGTCTTTGTTTTGTGTTCTAATGAGCAAACACTCTCACCCTGCCCCTCTCCACCGTGAAATGTAAATAGGTACAGGTGAACTGTCTGGAAGCCTGATGAAATGTGAGAGGGGGGGTAACCTTGTGATGGAGGGGGAAGGGTAGTAATACGCTCATTTGCTTTATGTGACAGAACCCTGGATAGGCTGTTACTGGACAGGCCACTTGGCTCTGAATGCAGACTTAATTACTAATTACCTACCAATGCAGACTTATTCTTTTTAAAGACCTTAAAAGGTCGTGATTACTGCTTTTCTGGGCTTTAGGGCATCCCAAGGAGGGACTGGTATAAGAGGTTCAGATATGCTGCATGGCTCAGCCAATGCAGTTGAAAAATGATGAACCTTATTTTTAAAGTAATGAAATTCTTTCCTATCTGCTCTAAACATATTTGTGAAATAATTTTGTTGTCAAAATGAAATGCATCTGAATTCAAGAGTCCTAAATGCCTACACTTCATGGAGCTTTCATCCAAACTCGATGAGGTCAATCTCATGAGGTCTTGCATCGTGCAATTTGCCATATGCCATTTTGAGACATGCTAAAGGGAATGTAGTAGCTGTATCATCATATTGAACAAACTCAAGTGTACTCAGTAGGCCAAGTATCTTTTCATATGTACAAATATGCTGGAAGGGTAATTGAGATGATTTTTTTTTTTTCAGAAAAGCCAAACAATCATGTCTAGCCTTTTTGTAATCAAAAGCCAGTTGAAGTTGTCAGAAGGTAATGAGACTTTTCACAACTTTAACATGAGACTTTTCACAACTTGGTGATTATGTTGTCATGATCATGATAGCGATAAAGATGCTCTGAGGACAACAGCAACATAATCATGAAAAAACTTGTGATTGCTGTAATATAGACTCAATTTGTCTTTTTATTGACATAGATTATTCCATTGGGAATCGCAAGTAGGGCTTAAAATGTAGATCTATGCTTATGATTGGAAAGTCTTTTTGCTGGGTGAGAAAACACTCAGACCTGCCATAATAGTGCCATTAACCCATTACACCCTAACATCAGTATGCATATTCTTCATGCTGTTCTTTTCTTTTACATTCTTTTACATTTTTTTCTTTTACATTTCCTATGGTAATGACAAGGAGAATTTGTTTAATAACAATCCAGTCCTCATGACTTTTACATTTGATATATAAGGGTGATACTATAGGAGAAATTACTTTAGATGCCAGTTTTTATCGTTTATTCTCAATCAAATCAGCAAAAGCTTCCTATCTTTTCTTGAAAAATGTTCTGCCAAACTCAATAACATCTTTTGTGCTCTTCGCAATTTAATATTCTTCCGTCGCTGTCATCAATTCTTCGAAAAATTGACAAAAAGCGAGGCATCCACTCTTAAACTGAGCGCCCTTGCTGCAATCACCTCGCGCTAGTTGATCATAGAAAGATATAACGCAATCTTCGACCAGAGTGTGTGCATCTCTAGTATTATTAAGTCACGCACATTATTCTGATACTGTTTTGTGCTTTGTGAAGGTGCAAGGAGACAGCCATGGACCCAGGGGGAAAATTGACATTGCCTCTCAGGTAAACAGTGGTAAGAGGCTAACTTTGAAGAGTATACTTGGAATCGTTTTATCACCAATACCATCATCCCCTAAGCATAAGATAAAGAACCAGAGGCAAGGTGGATACTATTTGGAGAAGACAACATAGTAGAGGCCGCAACTGTTATTGGTTCTGCTGCAATGAGGTCACTGTGGCAACTCGACCACAGTCGTTTTACGGTCATATGTCACACTGTGCTCACAGTTCAACGAATAATTCATAACCAATTGTTACTAATACGTAACTTTTGGAGAGAGAGGAAACCTAGTTGCCATTGCTTCATTCTGATTCTCAAATAAATCGAAAGGGCAAATTTTCGCGACTAGGAGCTGGGCCCCCATATCGCACTATGTGGAAGCGTAGTGATACTCAGGAGTGGCAGGAGAAACTAGAATAAGCGCTTGCATAAATGGGTCATTGAGCATGAAGTGTTAGTAGAGACTTATGAGCAATCGTTACAATTATTGAAAAGTATTTTCAATGATAAGCAGTATGAGAACTTGTTGAGATGATTACGGTATATATTTGAACGGTGTATTCAAAACGAAAGTCTCCTTCAACGGTGACATTTTTATATTGTCTTGAAATTTCTTACAGTTGAATCATTCTTCTTGTTTTGTTTTGTTTTTTTTTGTTTTTTTTTTTTCATGGTCCACAAAAGAGATAGAATCATCTCTTTTGCCACACGAGTACCTTTACAGGTTAGTCCGTAGTACTCTGGAACAAAATGGCAGCTGCCTCACCGTCGCCCTTAGCCCGTTCTCCAGAGAAGACAAATGGTTAAAAGTTGAGCAGACTTCTTATCGATGGTGGAACAATAGTGTTGAGGAAAGTTTTTGATGGCTTTTACCCTCCGGGAAGGCTGTCTGCTGGTCTAACCGCCCAGTCTTCGACCCTGAATACTCTCCTTAAGAAAAAGGTCTTACGTGCAGCTCAGTGGAATAAACTATTCCCTCCTGGCGGAGCAGCACCAGACTCTAACACGTTTGATATCACTCTCCTATTTCTTCTTCTCACCAACATTTGCGGACTATCCCCTCCTCTCCTAGGGTGGCATATGAAGCCATCCCCAAGTGACACCTCTAGTGAGGCAAATCTCGCTCGCGTGAAGTTCTTCCGCAATGAGTTGTACGGTCACGTTTCTAGCACTGGCATTGACACGCCCACTTTCTCCTCTCTGTGGCGCGAAATTAGTCCTGTTCTTGTAGCTCTTGGGTTAGATCAAACCGAAATCGATAGACTGAAGGATGAAAAGTGCAGCGCGAAAGATTATCTTGACGTTTTACTTGAATGGACTAAAAGTGAAGAAGACATCATATCTCATTTGGCGGACCTGCTTAGATCTCAGAACACAACGCGGCATATCATTGAAGAAGTACGTGATACTCAACTAGAAGATTACAAAACGATTCAAGAGAGCAATGCAATGCTTGGGGAAGTGCATCAATCTCAGAACACTACACGGTGCATAATTGAAGAGTTACGTCAAACCCAACTAGAAGATCACAAAACGCTTCAAGACAGCGCATCAGTGGTAGGAGAAGTGCATCAGACTCAGACGAAAATACACAGCACCACCGAGGGCTTGGCTAAAAGCCAAGAAGAGCGTTTTGAAAGTTTGCAAACAGGTCTACAGGAAGTGAAGCTAGCTGTTGGAGAATTAAGCAAAGGAAGAAGCTCAGGCAGTCAAGAAGAGGAAGTCCCGAAGCATATCTCTTCCAACCTGGAAGAACAGAGCAGAAAAGAAAAAGAATATGAAAGCTTCAAGAAACTCGCCAAAATTGACCCGAAAAAAGATGTAGAATATCACGCAGAACGGTACCTAGAAGGTACTCGTACGTCAATATTTACAAAAGTGGAGAATTGGCTGGATGATAGGACCTCCCAAAACCGTGTTATGGTGATAAGCGGAAATGCAGGGATGGGAAAGTCAGTGATCTCGGCAGTTGTTTGCAAAAGAATGATGAAAGTGGGACGACTGTCAGGTAGCCACTTTTGTCGGCACGATAACGCACGTCAGAGGAATCCAAAAGTAATGCTTCAGTCTCTTGCTCACCAACTTTCCGAATCCTTGTTAGAATACAGGGATAGTCTGGCGGACGTTCTCTCCAGAAACCTTGGTGTAGAACCAAATGATATGGAAGTCAGGGAACTCTTTGAATTTTTGTTTGAGGGACCACTAAAGGAACTAAAAGATCCTGGAAGAAACATTCTCATCATTGTGGATGGACTGGATGAAAGTGAATACCGGGGACGGAATGAGCTGCTTGATGTTATATCCAATCACTTCAAGAAACTTCCTTGTTGGATTCGGTTTCTTGTAACAGCTCGACCAGAAGTAAACATCGCAGAAAGCCTGAAGAGTTTTAGTCCCATAGCCTTAGAGCCAAGTGATGAAGAGAACCTGATGGACATTAAGTTGTTATTCAGAAAGCAGCTCAGCCATCTTATTCCACCTCAGCAAGAAAACTGCTTCATAACTGAATTGGTGAAAAAGTCCGAAGGGCTTATTTTGTATGCTCATTTACTTATTCTTTTTATCTTAGATAATGCCTCATTTCTCACTACATGGGAGGTGGATAGTATGTTGCCGTCTGGAGTTTCTTCTGTTTACCAAAAGTACTTTCAACGTTTGGAAAAAGAGCTCTGTAAAGAACTGAACGTGGCCGAGGAGCAGTTTCTTTTATTCCTTAGTGCGCTAGTGGCTGCAAAGGAACCATTATTATTAAGTTTTGCGACTAAAGTAATGCTTGCGGGATAATATTCGATACCTGAACATCGAAAGATGAAGAAAGCACAATCATGCATTTCAGCTCTGCTTCCCATTCGAGGAGACTGTATTCATTTCTTTCACAAGTCTGTCAAGGATTGGTTAACTAGCAAGTCCTGCTAAGGGGAGCACGACTTAATCGTGGACGTAAAGGAAGGCCATCGCATTATGTGCGAACTATGCACCATAGAGCTTAACAAAGTCAAAAATAAAGCTGTCGACAAAGGCCAATTTGCAGACACTAAAAGGTATGCCTTGCAGTTTGGTGTACAGCATATGGTAGAGATGAAAGACGAAGGGCATTCACGTTCCTTTGAGGAAATCATAAAAAAGTACGTGGTCGACCTAGAGATTGTGTACGCGAAGCTATGCGTAAACAGCGCCTCACCCTGTGAAGACGTCGTTTATGTTTTGAAGCAAGAGGAACTCAATGATTTGTGAAAAGAAATTCCACATTCCCTCAATAACTTGATGTTTATTTTAAGGAAGCACAGAAGGTTCTTGAGAGAGCACCCGGATGCGTTATTCCAAGTGGTACTGAATGAAGGCAGAGCTAAACTTTCTTGTGAAGCAAGAAATCTTTTGGAGACGAAGTATTGCGAATTACCCTATATGGAGTACTTGACAAAGACTAAGTTACATGAATACCTTCAAGCTGACTTTCTCTCTCCGTCTCAAGTGCTCTGTTGCGATGTTTCCCCGCAAGGGGACTACTTGGTGATGGAGTGTCGCGAGGGTACGATACATTTGTGGTCACTTCTTACTGGGGAGCAACATTGGATACGTCCTGTCAGGATTAATAAAGATATACCTACAGTTCTGTTTGGGGCTCATAGGGCACTATTTTCGATACATGATTCGTTCGCCGATTGGGATTGTGGTTTGTCATTTTATCGTTCAGTTGTTTTCCATCCAGATGGCAGTTGTGTCTTACCAGGCGAACTCAGACAAGCCTATAGTCTTTGTGGAAACCTACAATCGCTTTTCCCTGAAAGTCAGTGCACCTTCAGAGTGTGTTCAGTATCTGGAGACAAGACTATGATACTAACAGATAGCCCTGAGGATGATAAATGCATCATGGTATGGAGTCTAACTGATGGCAAGGAGATAAGTCGTCTTAGAAGACAGGAAAAAGTTCTATCTTTTGCGTGGTCTCCAGATGGAAATATGATTGCTCTTTCCCTTTCAACGGGCTCAATATGTGTAATAGACAGGAAGAACGATTTTGACACTCTGGCGGAAGCAACACCCTCCAAACCATGTGGAATGTTAAAGTTTTCACCTGATCAACGAAGCCTTTTTGGTATGCATGTATCCTATGATGATTGGCGAGATCACGTACTTCATCATTTCAGTTTAAGAAAAGGTCATAATCACACATATTCATTAGATGTTTCTTGTATCCCAGCTCCTGTCAAATTTCATTCATGGGATTTGGAATCCCGTACCGAAGCTGGATTTTTGTTGGGGGATCAGTTTTCCTTCCAACCCATGTTAGGCAACTCGAGTATACTGTAATGGAGATTTGTCTTAAACGACCAATCTGTGTTGAAGAGTTCACCTCTCCTACCTTCAGTTTCAATGCTAAGAAATCCGAATGAAACGACCGACCAGAAAACCTTTTCAAACACTGCTTTCAGAAGTATCGTATTCTCGTTAAACGGTAATACTATTTATGCGGTGAATGATGAAAGTATGCTAGGAATTTTGGCAAGCGACATTAAAAGCGAGAATCTTAAGGCAGCACAAGTAATTAAGCATTCACTAGCCCATACTCTTCTGCCAGTGAGAGACGGTGTTGTGGTTTTGACGAAGAGTGGTTGTCATGAAATTTGGAACATTGAATTGTCCAAGTGTATTCAAAGTTGGGACAACATAACAGGGGTGACACGATTGCTCCACATAGCAGAGGAATTAGTGGCATGCGTCATTGATAAAGAAGAGAAGAAGGTTGCTGATTTTAGCATATTTCCCACAGTAAATAGTAATCTTCAGTTGTGGGATATTAAGTTCCTTGAATGTCTTCAAAGCCGGGTTCGCCTACCCACAACGAAGCAGACGAGTCCTGCCTCAGAAGGAGAAGAGGCTAAGCGAGACAAGAGACCTGCACATGTAGTAATGATTCTGGACACTGGAAGTGGAAAGATATTGGGAACAATCGACATTTTCAACGGGATATTTGTCACATGTAACACCAAATGTCAGTTCTTGACAACCTGTGATAGTTTAGTTCAGGTTGTAGATGGCGCAGTTCGTGTTGCTTCACATGCACCGCAAGTTGTAACTCTTTCCAAAGTTGTGGATAGTTACTTTGTAGATTTTATCCCTGATATGTCACGTGTACCTGCAAAGTTCTCCCCCAGTGGACAGTTTGTCATTGTGGATGGGCACACTTCTCGCAGACACCTTGGCTTGAGTCGAATAGTAAGAAACCTTTCGTTTGACTCATGTCCATCAATCGAAGCTGCATTCAAGGACGACCCATCTTATCTCTATGTTTTTGATGTGATCTCATTAAAGGAACCTTACACTTTATGTGAAATGAACAGAGTGCGGGATTTTAAATTCATAAGTGATGAACTGTGTGTAGTCGGCTTTGACTAAAGTTTTCGGCGTTTTTTATTTCGAATTTTCAATGTCAAGTCCGGTGCCGTGCTGAATGTTCTGGAGGTTGATGGCGAAATCACTGGTGATTTGTTTACAGCTTGTCCTCTCAAGCGTCTCATTGCCCTTCTTTGTGACGATGATTTATCGAGTATCAGAATAATACATGTGAATCTTCCCGCGGAAAAAGGCAACAGGAAGAGTAAAAGGTAAAAACAATATTTAGCAATGTGACAGTATAAGAAATGACATTTACGCATCAACTACTTTTGACATTAACAATACTCTAAGGGAATTTGTTTACAGCCATTGTCACGGAGCCATTAGACAAACATATTGATGTCACCAAACGCCACACAGACACGCGCCTTAAGATTTGTGAATTAGTCACTGATAATGTAACCAATGCGAGGCCTTGGTCAACGGAGCCATCGATAGTGTCTGCCTAACATGGACTCGTAAGTTTCATGATTATGATGTATTTGTTTTCACTTATTTTTCCAGTCTTCAAAGACGCTGAAGAAATCGATTGGAAGCCACTCAAGAATTCTAAGGATAAATGGAAGATTTCTCAGATGTGTTGTTTTAGAAATTTATGGAAAAAGTGTGGACAGGTTTTTTTAACGGAGATGAAAACATTTTGTTGTTGTTTTTTGTTTTTTTTTTTATTGTTGTCGTTGTTTGAACTTTCAGCGTGACAGAAGTTTGATTTTTTGTGATGTAGAGAACGGTTGTACTCAAATTTATCGAAATATTATGATGGATTTGAGTCTGTGTATAATAAATCTTGAAAAATTCAGTTTTAATTACCTTAAGATGCTTTGGTATGTTTTCGATATTTGTTTCAATTGTTGAAGGAAAGCAACCTCAAGGATTACAACTTTAACATTTTTGTAGTGAAGTATCGTGTCCTCGAGATTGAATAAAACGGCAACCATAAGGCCAAGAGGTACCATAGTGTTTTTAACTTAAGAGCAAATTTTTGAGGAATAGAGCCTTATTTAGGCGCTTTGGCGCTCTATTGTAAAATGTATAATTTTAAATGCTTTGGTGATATGGGCTCATTTTAAGAATTATCATGTAGCTATGCAGTACTTCATATTTTTGAGGAGCGAAACTCAGTTTTGCTTTAAAATATTCAGACGTTTATGTATAGAATTGAATAAGGTCCTTAAAACTTTGAAATATTTTGATCTAACGAAACTGATGATACTTTTCAGTGTTATGAAAAGAGATAAAGAGATAAAGGTAGAATATGAATTCCAAATTTCAAGAGAGAATTTCAGTTTTTGAAATTAAAATCTTATTGTGTGTATACTTCTTCAGTTTCTAACCACATTCCAGGTTTCTCTATGGCTCCTTTTACTGCTGCAAGAACACAAACGATTTCAATTTAATAAGTGCATATACATGTATGTTGAAAGCTTGTTTTTATAATAAAACGGCATATGCTTTATTAGTTTGGTTATCTTAGGTTTCATTTCAGTCGAACGCATGTGCAAAACGCTTTTGCTCTCACATTCGGCCGAGGGATGAATATATGCTTTCACTGGTTGGCTGTACGTCGTAGAAGCTTTTATCTAACAAAATTGCAGCAAATTTATGATGAAACTATATGCTATGATGTGGCGTACGAGTAATTTGTCGATAGACTTCTTAATTTTTTCAGGAATAAAAATTACAGCTTCTCCTTGATTGAACCCTGTGTGTACTTCTTTGGTATCCGTAGGCAGCCTTACAATTGTTTTTCGATCATTTGTGATTCCCCGGAATGTATGCACTAAGATTGAGGGTTCCAATTAACGAAGAGATAGGCTCTGAACGTGCTCTGTTCTGTTGTAAAACTTACAGGAAGCGGCTAGAGCGCGAAGGAAGTGAGGGGAAACCACGAGACGTAGTTCAATGTTTCTCCTTTTCTGATTTTCTAATTCAGGAGTTAGATTAACCGTTGACACCCTCACATTAGTATGCATATTCTCCATACTGTTTTCTATACATTTTCTAGAGGGCTGATAAGGAGAATTTATTTAACAATCAGGAGCTTTAATTGGGGATCATTTTCTTTATTCTCATGACCTTAATATGCGATTCAGGAGTGATGTTTAGAAGGACTGGGAACTAGTCTGACCACAAAAAAAAAAAAAAAAAACCGCCATGTTGTTTTGTCACGCTAGTGTAGCTTGTTATTTCGTTAAATTAAATGAGTCAAATTTATGAAGAATTGTTTTGTTTCAAACCCCGAACTAGTTCTCAAGGACAAGTGATATTGTTGGGAGAATTTATATACTTGTCACTCTTAGCGGTGAAAGGGTTAATTACTTGAAATCTAATGGTAACTTTTGTAGATAATGCATGCAATGACGTTTTAAAAGGTCGTCTGTAATGAAGAAAGGAACAAATGTGGTTCATCGTTTTACCACAAATTAGCTCCTTTCACATGTTCGTGTTCGAGTCGTGCTCTCTGTTCTTGAGAGAAAAATTAGCTAAAGTCTGCACTGAAAACATTTGGTAATTACGGCGGCGAGAAGGATGATATATATCTTAATAGACGTTTTTTTGATAGTATCGCTGAGTATTTTTACGAGCTGTGCCGTATTTTGACGAGCCCGTAAGGCGAGTCAAAATGCGGCACAACTCGTGAAAATACTCAGCGATACTATATAATAATACGTCTAATAAGAGATTTATTATTCAACGCGCCAAATTGTTATTTAAGTTCGGGCGAATTTCGTGGCTATTTCTGGTGTGCAAATAGCGCGTGATATCTGTACTCGTCTATGGCGTTATTTGTACTCTACGGAGTGTAGTTGGATAATAAGTGAAAATTATTTGCTATGTTCAAAATTTTGGCGAGAACTAGTTCTTTGGCCAAGTCCCAAAACTGGCATTTAGAGACGGGACGATCTTGTTGGAAAGATCTGACAAGGAATATGAGGCCAAATTGATCTGAAATATATTTTCACACAGCAGAAATGACAGAATTTTTTAATGTATTTTATAATTTCTTTATTCGGCTGACATATTTACACAAAAACCCCAAAATAAGTATAGTTTACAAACTAGATTTCATCGTAAAATCTTCCCGTCTAAGCGAACTTAACATAATCTTGATCTCATATTTGAGTGTGATTAGGATAGTGCTAGATTTATTCATTGTAATTAACAGCTAATTAATTAATAGTTAATTTATCAAATGAATTGATTTATTGATTAATTAATAGGTAATTCGTGTGTTGCTACATTTACAATGGTATCACTATTCAATTTCAATTAAACATCAGCTCCGACTTGCTAATACGGTCATAAAATTTGTTACACCATCCCAGAAAGATGAAGTACAGACATACACAATCCACTTTGTCTTATTCGCCTCAGCTTTGTAATCATTACGGTGGCCAATTTACCATTTCAACTTTGTTGGTATATCCAAATTATTTCGTTACTCCCACCGACGCAGCCCCAAACAGTTTCTTTCGAAACTATCAGCCTTTACTCATCAGCTTTCATTGGCTTCGAAAGATAAAGTACAACGCAGCTTTGACAATTTTCGCGTAGATCGTTCTAAGCCTCGTCCAATATGTTTCTAGTTATGGTTGCTTTTGCGAACATTAATCCGAGATCACATCTATAACTTATCTTATTTACAACACAGCATACATCATCTGCCATAAGCATATTAAGGTATCGAAGAGTGACATCTAAGGGTGATCCCTAAGAGTCACCAGCATCTAATTTCTCCTTACAATATCACCCCTGAATCACACATTAAGGTCACAAGAATAAATGAAATTATCAACAACTAAAGAAGCTCTTGATTGTTGAACAAGTTCTCCTTTTCAGCTCCTTAGAATTTTATATAATTCCTTAAGGAGAATATGCATACTGTACAAAAGGGTAGACGCGACAGCTGCTTCCCTTGCTCTCTTATGTCACTCTCTTACTTCGCGCACCTACAATCTTGGAGAATTGAAGGTACCTGTCCCTTCCTCATTTCGAGACACATCCGTCGTTGCTTTTTAGGGGTGGGAGTTTCATTTTTAACCTTTGTAATCCAAAGTCCGTCCCACGAGGACCATACCAAAAGGGGAAAAACAAAACTAACTGAAACTTCTCCTGAGGCAAGAAAAATTTGGAAAGAGGAAACGGTCCCACTACTTGTGTACAGAGCGGCTGCTAATAAACATAAACCACTCTTAGCCTGGCTCTGTTAATGTCTCAAAGGCAGGAGTGAAAAGGTCATAGACTTCAGAAACACAATCTATATGCACGTTACTTCGGTTTCACACCATTTTCAGCTAATCAGGTGCGAAATCCAAAAGTTACAAGGTTCTACTAGAAAAGAGCCTTTTTTAAAGACTAGTTGAAAACGAGATAGGCTTTCTTTTTCTTACATATCTGATGAAGTCTCCACGGTGTTCACGTTCACATATGGACCTTTCGACTCTTTGGCACCTTGCAATCCTGCAGTATGCATTAATGGAGCGTACATGCAAATAGCCGCGCTATTGTTACGATTGCTAGGGGAAATGTTAGTGTAGTCAGTTCTTGCAACTTGCGTGGTATCTTCAAGCTCGCCATCGTTTCCTTCGCGTCTCAAACTCATGTAAAGCCCGTTTGATCCAGTCCATGTCGAAATAACGTCGTAAGGGAAAACCTCATCGCTATCGCGCGTGATAGTTTCGGTGGGTGACTCTGGTCTCGGTGATTCCATTTCCTCCACAGTTGCCATTTCAGTAGAGGTGCTCTGCATTGTCATTTTTCTGGATTTCATTTTCTTAGTTATTAACTTTGTGATCCTTCTGTGGGTGAAACCCACAGCAGAGCAGATTATGAGGAGTACGGAGAAAACAGCAATGACCGTGACCAAATTGGTTGACTTGGAGCGATCGTTACTGACCTCTGATACTTCTTCAAACGAGAGAAAAGAACAATTAAACATTAATTATTGATACATGAGGAAAATTTCTTAATCAAATTTTTTGGCAAAACAATATTTTTTATTTTTTTGCTGTTTCTGTTTGTTTGTTTGTTTTTGTTTTTTTTCTTTTTCTGAAATGTGATGGCGTCGAAGAAAACAAACAAACAAACCAGTTTCATGTATGATTTGCTCAAATTTCCTTATCTTCCATGGTGTTGATCATGCGAACAAAATGTTTTCTATTTTTTTGGTTACAAAGGAGACGACAGCAAAACCTCCCTCTGGAAATACTCTATATGGATGCTGTGGGGTGAGGCGGGGAGGGAGGCACTCGCGAAGGAAAAAATGCGAGCTCCTCTAACATTCGTATCAGTCAATTTCATGCAGCAGACTCTTATAAACAAGACACTTTCTCTAGTCCAGATAATAGCCCACGAAAAGAGAGTTGATCAAAGGCTAACAGCTCCTTCTGAAAAACATCTATGATCTTTAAATAGTCACGTAGTGATTTCAAGAGTCAAAGGGGAAACTGTAACCATTTTTGGTTACTTTCGAAACAGCAAGGTAAATCCATCCCTAAGGCAATGGAACATTGCACGAAACGTTTTCACAAATCGCATTTGTATAAACCACAGATAGAAGATGTAAATAGACTAAAAGATTCGTCTGTATTCTACGAGTTGTAGGTGACTTAAGTGAAAGACCACGTAAACAGAAGAATACGTCCCCCCCGTTTTAGGGATTCACTGCACACTGATCAAATATAAAAAAAATCGTTTTTTTAAATCTTGATTGAATTTTAGATGATCCTCTTTTAATTTCGAGTTTATTTTTATGGCATAAAGTTAAGCTCAGAATCAAACATTATTATGTATTTTACTGAAAATAAGCACATCCGGCTACAAAACTGCTGGCACTGACATTTTAAACCCTCTAAACTATATTTTCACCCCTTTTTGCCGCACTTAAAGTAATACTTTGGCACAGTCGACTAATTTGGTCATCGATTTTAACTAAACTCGAAATATGAAAGTCTTTCTAATAACGAAAAAATATCTCTCCCCACCTGGTCCTCCCACGGAAGAGATAACCAAGGATCTAGAGGCATTTCCTGCGATGTTTGACACCTGACATGTGTATTTTCCATTGGTTTCATCGTCTTGTAAGGAAACTTTGACTGAGTCCTCTCCATTGTTCAGCGGTTCACCATCTTTAAGCCATGCGTACTTTAGCGGGTGCCTGTTTGTCGTGTTGCAAAGCAGGAGGAGTTCTCTTTTCATCGTCACTTTGTCGTTTTGTTCAAGGAAAATTCCTTTTATATCAGTTATAAACGGATGCTCTGGTTAAAAAGAATAAAAAAGAAACATGTTTCTGAGTTTAAACGCAATATTTCTTGTAATACACTACCGGTCTTGCTGATGTAAAATTAAGGTGAATTTTTTTACCCCTAAGTTTACACGCCGCTTAGTGCTAAGTAGGAAGGTGTTAAAGACCATTTTGTGTTTGGATTTCTCAGATCTTCCTCTTTCATCATTTTTCCACATTTCTTTTTCGCTGTTTATTGCTTGAGTAGATCGTTTATTAGTTGTTTTTTTGTGTATCAATTTCGTGATTTACAATTCGTTTCATCATGTCATGTTAGCATAGGGATAAATGGAAAGTGATGAAAATATCTCTGAACAAGAAAAGAACTTTTGAATTCCTATATGTTAGAAATGAAAAGCATATCGCCAAACTATTTAAGAAACCTTGCTTACCACACTAAGGACTGATTAACCCCCAATAACTTACCAACAACAAGGACTTTAAAGGACACTCTTGGACCCTGATCCACCTCACAATGGTAGGTACCTTCATCCTTCGAGGAAACACTGTGAATGGTTAGTTCTTGGCCACTTGTGTTGAGGGGTTCGTTGCTTTTCTCTCTGTACCACCGGACGGTATGGTGCGGCTGACCACACCGCAGTGTGACGGGGTGACCAGCAATCACTTGGTTGTTCTTTGCTGGGGTGGGAATGACTAGGATATCTGCAAAATTGATTGAAATCTGTGATATCAACTACAGTTTCAGGAAACAGCTGGGAGTGGCAAATATTTCAGAGGTAGCTTAGGGGATTTGGAGGAAGGCTCATTTTCCAGCTCAGGCAATGGATGTCTTAACTCCATGTAAGTCATTTGTGATTAGCTATTCATACGATTTTCAAGAAGACATCGTCAAGATATTGTTCTGAATTAAACAAATTGCATGGTAGACAGCTCAGAGATTAGCGTTGTCGGTGATCATGACGACGAAAAAATTCGTAATGTGGGTGTCTGCGGGAAAAGGAACATGCCTCAGATATCATATGGTTTAATGAATCCACCATTTGTCTCCCTTTTTTTTTGCGATAATCAGAGAAGTTGCTGTTTGTGAACCGTATGAAAGATGTCGAACACTTGTCACTCGTTTGCGTGGGACAAAGGGAATAATTGAGTCCACGCCCACTTAGCGGCAGAGATCCATTGGTGATTAGAGCTTTAAAATATGCTCAAAAATGACAAGCCTCCCGTATGTTGCTAAGCTCAGTTACACTGTATGGACGAAGAGTGCCGTCTTACTTTGGTGGGTCTACTTTCCCATAAAAACGTTGCACCGTGTGTTACTAACAAATGGCATTGAAACAGCTCCCCCCCCCTCCCCTGAAGTTTGTCATCAAGTTCCATAGTTCTTAAGCTTTTCAATGGTTCCCTATTGATTCCTTTCACATTTTATGACGAAATTACAAAATTGCCGTAAACAGACGTTATAATAAGTTCTAGGACTGTGGGGTTTAAAGAAACGCAACGCACAAAATTTCGTAGGCCTCTTTAACGCGACTTACTTTCGTTCATCTTGAACGACACATACTGTGAACTCGTCCCATTTCCCGCGGTATTCTCGGCTTGTACTCGTACTCTATACTGTGTGTTGCTGAGGAGATGTGTGAAAATGACAGACTGCTTTCCGTGTGATGATTGCCGTTTGATAACATTCCCGGATGCAATAGACAGTTCCACATAATTATTTGTTACATTGCTACCAGAAGACGCTAAGTTCCAGCCAACACGGACAGCGGAAGAATTTATGTACTCGATGGAAACGTCTTTGGGGACTTCCGGCAATACTGTAAATATGGCAAACGAAATTGAAATGAACTGACCTCAAATACTGGTAGAAATAAAATGAAACCAACAGAGCTTTGAAAAGAAGCGAAGATTTAAGAAAAAGATTTACAAGTCCCCACCCCCTTGTACCCTTCTTTAAAGTCGCTGATAAACATCGTTGTATCGCAGGTCCGTTTAAAGATATCAGGCTGAGAAATGATAATTACCTTTTGATAAAAAAAAGCTAATTGTTCAGGATTGATTTTCCTGATTATGACAATGCAACCGTTGTGAAACGGTTACAGTTCTTTGATTATTCTGAAAAAACTTGTTGCACTATCAAAATGTCAATGCTCACAAAAAACAAGCAACAAATATCCTCGTCTCTCCCTTTTTAGAAATACGTTTAACGAGAAAAAGGCCACATGAGACAGCATGAAACGAGGAAAAGATCTCTGTTTCATTTCCATACAAACGGTAAAGTTTGGGAAATACATACAAGAACAGAACAGGTGCTAGGTAAAGCTTGATCAATTGATACCATAGTAGACCTTACTCTGTGAGTAAAAGCTTTGGTAAAATTTGTTCATAATTCTTATAAAGAGATAAAGAAAGCACTTACTAATCTCAAATAACATACCTTTTAAGGGATTGTCACTATTTATTGCCTGAGGAAGGGAAGGGGAGGATTGTGGGGGATCTCGTGGTTTTCAGGGAGAAAAAGCAGAAGTGTAAAGGGGGGGACTGTAGAAAACTCATTGCCAATTGACAGTCGATGAGGAAGGCATCATACAAGTTATACAAAGCCTTATGGGGGCATCAAAATTCTCTGAACCCTCCTCACCCCCCCTGCAATACACAAAGGCCGGTACCTTAAACAGCGGAAGGAAAAAAACGCTTCGATCTTTACACCAAGCGAAAAAAGGATGAAACCTCTTACCTCGTTCACATATAAAGGTACATTTTTTTGTACAAGCATCCTCGTCTAATTTTCTCTTTATCGCATTAAAACCAGCGCAGCTGCTAGTCCCACCCTGTGGGTTTTGAGACCTTCGATGACCGACGGTGGGGTGACTAGCTGATCCAACCCAAACGGTGGAAAGATTAAGGAGAGATCTCTCAGCTGGGATGGATCCCTTGGTAAGAACACTCATGAAGCGCAAGGTATCATCATCTGAATCGTGTGGGACTTTAGCCAGACGTGCAGAGGAGCCAGTGCAGTAAGAGGATGCTTCTCTCCACACACGTTCCATGTTATAAGAGGAGTGCATGAAACACGAGTTCTTGTAGAAACTCCATCCGTTGGCACAAGATGGTTTTCCTGGCTCTTGTGAAGAAGATAATTGACTTACTGTGAGACTCAAAAAACCATGAAATCCAGAAACATTTATTGGATGCTTTTGTATTTTCCAAGCGAAAAGTCAATCAGGCGCGACAAGCAAGAGTGGTGATTAGTTTTTGGTTTTGAGGCTTCCACTTGTTACCCACACTTTTATCTGATTGGTCGCAGTTTTCTGAGTCTTACAACTTGAACGACATAGTCTCTGGGATATGTCACGCGACGCTCGGTCCAAGAAGAGGAGCGTTGTGTGACTTCGCAGAGAGCAAGGTGATTGTGGTTATATCAAGTGAGCTGATAATGTAAATTGGCCACCGTGAAGAGTTTCAAAAGCTGACGTTTCGTGTTATTTTAACTCGATCACCTGTCCAGGTGTAGGCTCTGATCACGTTAGAATTTAAACAACTGCCATTTATCCCTGCAACCCGTTGTAGGCTCCTTCGTAGCCATTCTTTGGAATGTCACGCGACGTTACGCCACAACTCACTAATGTAGTTTGTTTGGGGCCGAAGTGCATTGCGTTACATCCCAAAGGAGGGATGCGAAAATTAATACGAATTAGTGAACGGAGATTGTTAGCACTCTGCGCAAAACGAATTATTTCTCTCCCCTACCCCCCTCCCACCCGATTTGTGCCTATTCATAACGGGGCCTGTTAACTAGCAACTGCCTAATTTCCCTACAAGATAACTTTATTTTGTAAGACCAAGAAATATGCGGTGTCCTTTTCGATTCTTACCTCATGTAACTGAGGCCTCATTAGGATTTATCGAATATGAGATATCTGGGTAAAATATTGACGGGATACGGGAAATTTAGGCCAAAAATTTGTGGGATACGGGATAAAACAACAGACACCACCCCTTCCCCTTTTAAGGGGGTCCTCATATCTCTATAAGAACCTAATTAACTTAACGGATTAAAAATGACTCCACTTGTTAGATCTGCATTCAAATACACAATCTCAGTAACTTACCTATAACATTGACGAAAATGTAGTGCATTATGGCCCAGATTCCCCATTCTGCAGCAGAGCAAGAAAAAAAACCCGTGTCATCAACGGTTGCTTTGTTAATTGTATAAGTTGGCCCTTGTTTCACGAAATTATCGGTGGCCTTATGACTCCGATTTCTCCAATGCCAGTAAATCAGCTTCTCAGGACTATCTCTCGTTTGACATGACAACGTCAGACTCTGATTTGCATAAATAGTGATCTCTCGAGAAACATCCGCTACTAAACCTGAAAAGAGAAGCCGTCTTAAGGAACGTTCAACTAACAACGCAAAAAAAAAAAAAAAAAAAAAAAAAAAAAAAAAAAAAAAGAAGGGAAAAAAATAATGCATTAGTCAAATATTTCAAATTTAAGGAAAGTATAACTAAGGAAAGTATAACTAAGCATATCTGCCTCTACGCGCTACGGGGTGATTCTTCTTTAACTGAGTTCAAGTCGCACTTGAATTTTGATTATTGGCTCTAATAAAGAAAGAAAAAAGAAAATCTCAAAACCGACCCGCATCTGAAACCAACTGATAGGTTGACCCCGCCCAATGCGCATTTTAAGAATAAATAAACAAAGAGAGGGCATCTAATGCCTTCTCTCCCTATCCCAGTCCCAGGCTCCACAATGGAGTAACTTTCGTATCCCGCCCCCCACCCCCTCCGACGGCCGATAACTTGCCTTTTTCATCACTTCCTGTAATGATTGATTTCCGGTATAAAACTCTGTCGAGTCAGTGGTTTTTGGTAAAGGTTAAAATACTGAGCGCCTCTTAACTATAAACATGTCATGTGTAGCGCCGTAAATGATTCCTTCATTGCAAATGACCTCCAGCCAAGCGGAGCGCTGAGGAAAACCGCAAATCATTCAAGCTCACGAAAATTGGCTCGGGAAAATTGGCACGAGAAATCAAAACAATATTGTTATCTTCATAAATAAGGCGTTCAGTGGGCGGTCTTTCTTGAGGTGCGATCCGATTTTTTTTTTTTATTTTTTTCGCAAGATAACACCAGGAAACGGCATGGATCTCCTTATACACTTTGCAAAATGACCGTTTCATATCATATAAAACTATTCCAGTCGCAATTCCCCAGGGGAATCTTCTGTGGTGTTCTCTACTGATAAAACGAGAATCAATCATTTTCTTGAGAGATTTGAGGTGCATCAATTAACAGACTAAACGCATCGTTTGCAACCGGAATTTTTTGTCATTAGGCATCGTGGTCATAAACTGAAAAGGATATGAAACACCGGAAACCCGATGAAAAAAGCAGATCGGCGTCACCAATATGTGGGCAGATTGCCATGTTGATTTAGTTGGACAGAGCAGAATTGTGATTTTAAAAGATACCATTGTTAAAACGTGCTTGGACGCTGCAAGGCGAAACTGAAATCTTTAGTGCGAGGTTTACACAAAAGCAATAAAGATTAAGAATCATTCTAAAATGTTTACAAAATCGCGCTTGCTAGTCTTAAAAAGCTCGATATGTTCAAGGTAAGCGCGAAAATCCATGACAAAATAGTAACAATCACAACACAATTAAAGGAGATCTAGAGCGATCATCGCAGTAATAAACATACCTTGAGCGGTAGTGAAAATAAAGCCTGAAAGAATTCAGGCTTGGGCGGGTGTCGAACCCATGACCTATGAGTACCGGTACGTGTAGCGCTTTACGGAGTTATCAAGCCGAGTTGGAGCTTTTTTTTTTTTTTTTTTTTCGGTTCGTGAAAAAAAAAAAAAGAATTCCGATTCATTAGAAGAGTTTAGATGAATATATTCAAGGAAAAGCTAGCTCGTCTTTCCTCATGAAAGGCTATGTAAAACTCTTCCTTAAAGTTGTCTGTGGAAGAGATATCGAATCAGTCCTTGTTATTGCTCACTTTACATTACAGAGCTTTGGCTTAACTCCTTGTGAAGACAAAAATGTCTCTTAAAACACGTGACAATGCTTTGCGTTTTTACACCTTATGCCAACGAGGGATAACAGTTATTTTCCAGACAAACTCAATTTTTGTTGCACTCCCACGCATAAATTCGCACATTCATTCCTGAATTAACCACAGTGTTCTAGAGTGTTTGTGCTTTCCTTTTTTTCCGCTTTAAAGATGTACAAGCCAAAGTCCTGGTAAAGTCGCATTACAACAGTTTTTGTTTATGTAATGCCTAAATTAAGCATCTTACCTTCCGAGACCGTGACACTAATCAGGAGTAAAAAAGCTATGAAGGATCTCATGCTGCAGATCACAGCCAGTATTGGAGGGACTGGAAGGTGTACACGCTTGAGTTGTTAACACACTCTATGATAACAGAGTACTATACATACGAGACTATGATTCGGCCAAAATCAGCTTGTTACGGGAAATCCTAACCGGAAGTGACTGACAGACGCTGAGAGAGAAAGAAAGACAACAGGTTTTTCAGCAGGATTTGGTATTCTTCTGTCTCGACGTTTCGTTTCGTCTCGGTGAACTTGTATCGAACTTGCATGGATTTGGCGTAGGGCTTTATATATAGTTTTTTTTGCGACTTCCGCTGACATCGATCCCATGTCAAATGATATTCAGGAAATTGTAATCAACAAACATTAAACCGATGAAAGCATTGAGAGTCTGTGACATTTCAACAGCTTATTCCAAGAGGGGAAACAATAAACAATAAGTTCGAGGCTTTGAAAACGGTCGGAAGCTCTGAAATTGGTCGGATTTCAAAGTCAACCCAAAGCAAGCGAATTCAAGCTTTTTGTTTACGATCACTCCTTTCGATCTTCAGACAGCTCCAAAACAGACCATGACGTCAGCTTGCTTTAGAACTTTAAATCAGAAAATCTTGAGTCAAGTAGCCGGAAAGCGATCAGCTTGTGTTATCGAAACCAAGCTAGGGAATGGCCCTTTGTTTTTGGCGGGAGCTTCTCAAGCTGTTGTTTTTCATGGTCTCTGTTTACGAACACACAATTATTACATCGTTATTATTATCTTCGTAATCTGTCAACCAAGATCTTATCGTTAATCCTCTCTCGCTAACCGCGAGTGTTAGAGATCAAAATAATAACTTCTCCTTGGTATTGAGTATTCTCATTACCTGTTTGCTGGATAATGTATGGATGTTTTAGGGAGAAGTTACAGGTTAATCACTTCTGGGAGTCAATGGGTTCAGTACACTTTCTATAGGTAAACTTAGCTGGATTACGCCTAGCACGAAATGCGAATTTAACAAACGAAAAATAAGTAAACTAATTCAAAAGGCTTATGTTATTCACCATTGAAATAAAATAGATAAGTTCACTGATACACGAACAAGATGATTTGGTTCAGTGGAATTTCAGTTCCTTCGACGGTCAGTTTGATTTTTGCGCAACTTTTTAAATGCAAAAGGATTTACTGATGACAGCCACGGCCAGAATCGGTAATGATTAATTTTCAAGACCGCGCAGACCTGAATTGAAAATTATTATAAAAGCTGTCCCAACAGCTTGGCATGAAGCTATTAGATGAGTCAGTAGTTGCTCGGCGCTCAAAATAAAGTCCTGCATTCAGGTACATAGTGCGGGAGTTGAATTGAACTTAAGTGTTCATACTATGCCATGGCAGGAACCCATTATCTATAACAACAATTAGCAACTGACCCATTCAATGGGCTTCTAAACATGGAAATTAAAACGTTTTGATTTCTGCGGTTTTTTGCGTGGACTGTTGGTTGATTGATCCGCAAGGAATAAATTCCCGCAGAAAATATTTCCAACAAGGTTAAACGCAACGTATATTTAGACTACTTCAAAATTGATAAACAGAAGCAAATACATAACATCTTGCATACGTAGTAAAGGGATTGATGTCACGCTCTTTTTTTTTTTTTTTGGTATTGGCAATAAACATCCTCTTTCTAGGGATTCTATGGAATTCGCTGGAAAATGCAATTCAATGTTCTTTGTGCTTTACTGATTATAGTGGAAGATGTTTCGGTTGATCTGAGCCGCAAAAGTTTGTTCCTTCAAAGCACAAAGTCAATCATTTCACAAGATAAATTTTCCCCGTAGATGGACATGCTGTGATTGAGTCACACACCCTCTTATCAACAATGAATTTCAGCAACATCAATATCCACAGACAAATCGAAAACAAAATAACCTCTTGTAGTTTAACTCTTAACTCTTTTAACCAGGTTAACAGTTTATTTTACTCATTTAATGTATTTTTACTCCTTACAGACTGAGTGCACTAACATGACAAATAAAAAACGTGGGACCGAATGACGAAGGTAACTTATCCCCGAAAAACGCAGCCCTTCCGGTAAAGCTTCGTATTGCACAAATTGGCACAAACAAACGCAATAAGATTCAATTAAGAATGGTCACGACGCGCCATAGTCGGGAGATATGAGACATATCATGATCACCGATTGCGTTTTGTGCTTGTAGTAACCTCCTTCTTATCTTTTCACGTCCACCTAGGTGTCATTTTGAGAACGACGACAATAACTCTTAATTTTTGAAAGCAGCCATTGCGTGCAAAACTGAGCTCAAGGACAGAGGACCCTTTTATGCCATACAAGGCCACGTCTGCCTGACAGTTCATTTGACAGATGGGGGAATCGGATAGGGCGCCGAAAGGGGTTGACACCCGCTGACCACTTAGCTCGTGAATGACTAGCCTGTGAAACGCCTTTGTAGAAGGGGCAGTGAAACAAAACCCAGAAAGGCTTTTCAATCGTGTAGTTACTTAATGCACGCATCAGCAGTCTAGACATGCTTAATAATAACTGTATACAACAAACACCAATCAGCATCGGAAACAAGTTCGGAAGTAACCTTCAATTAACTCATGTTAAACCTCAGTTCAAGCTCGTTACGTTCGATGACATGGCTATGTTTTCCATACAGTGGTGATAATTACTCGAATAAAACTATTTCTCATGAATAAGGGCGGTGCTTTTTTATAAACTACGATATCGGTTTGGGCTGAAGAATAGCCTAGAAGTGGACTATCTTTATTTTGCGTTGAAGATAGAATGCTGTTTCTAGGCCCAGACCCCTGGCGGGCCTCACGGTGACTCACCCTACCTCAACGGCCTTGAACATGAACTCTCGTGGACGACAAATACCCCTGCCAGAACGCTGGTAATGATGATCTGTTCGCAGGCAAGCTGTAGAAATTCAGTCGGGATTGATGATCCATAAATCACTGATTGGTGAACCACTCGAAGCGGAGAATTCATTATCTATTCATCCAGTAAAGCGCCACATTCTGAGAAAAGTTTGAGCACATCCTTCCTGGCTGACGTAATGTTAGATTACGCCGGGAACTGTTAAGAATTTGAAAGTTTGATAAGATGTTGTATAAAGCGCTAATAAAAAAAAATCGCGAAATGTAAGTATTTCAAGCGTTCTAAAAATGAGTAAAACAAATCGACTTCCCAGTGTGTCCCTCATTTGTGGTTTTTTGAGGATATCTAACGATCTGGGCTTCCTTTCAGTTGTGAAGCTACAAAGAACTGAAGGCAGACTAGGTAAGATAGTTTTATGCAATTTATGTTTACAAGGTCTATATTTCACATAATTTAACGCTCTAGATCAAGGATATTTTATTTTTCGTACAACGAGTTCTTCACGTATTCTCACACCTCGTCGCCTCAAATGTCACGTTCAGACTCATAGAAAGCCTGACGCAGGGGTTTCAGTAGCAGCCGGGGGCACCGGGTGGATCTTGTAATGACATAGCTACCCACTAAAAGCTTTAATACAAATGTAAATTATCCTACATGTAATTATCCTCGAATGTATGGCTCCTAGGAACATCTAAGCAACAGAAATCCGCATGAACAGATCGCAAACTAAAGGACACTGCAACTCTAAGAGTCTGCCTTCTAAATTTCCCAGGGAAATCAGACCATCAGACCCCCTTTGGAGGAGAAAGCCCCCAGGCCTTCAAAACTACTTGTCTGGAACTCTAAACTTCCCATAGATAACAAATCTTTTTAAAATCCCCGCGTGACGCTTTCATAAACAAATTAATAATGAAATTTCTGCTTTTTTCGGACTAGAGCTTTGGAACTGTGTCGAGGGTTATGAAGTGTTTATCAACGCAATCTACGACTCACTATCCATGTAATGACCACAAAATTCCTTTAAATGTCTCCCGCCTTGATAGGAACATGTAAATTAATACTGTTCCGTTTTATTTTACCCTCATAAAAGGTCAAAGAAAGAAAATGTTAGCCGAGGACTGCACGAAAGACAAACTAACACCGGAAAGCTAAATGATATCGCGCAATCTATACTCCCATGACGTCATATGCGATCTTGTCACCGGAAGTTCGGTAGCACGTCTTCAGATCGAAGATAAGGACCACCGATAACTCGCAAGGCTAAAGCGATGTCTTGTTTTGTCCTCACTCCGGCCGGCTGAGGTAAAATTTCAAGGCAGTCAGCTACAAATCAATCCAAACTACCTTTCTATATCATCTACCTGTTACGTGAGAGGGACCGGAAACGCGTTTTTTGCTTTTGTTTTTTTTTTTTCCGGACCAAAATAAATCTGGCCAAAAGTTTTGGATATCATGTTGAGGTCAAGCGCAACTGATAATCTCGACACGAGTTGCAAATAATATAATAAAGAGGCAAATGACCCTATGTAGGGTGTTTCCTCTATGACATTGATGTGGCGCTGTTGGAGCGGCAAGGACTTCAAGATGACCGAAGAGCTTGACAGCTCGCCAAAAACTATAAACGATTTCCTTTCGGTTGCTTCAGTGAAATGTGATTTTCCCTCGGGTAAAATTACAATCTGGTAGGTAAATAGGAGCGAAAGGCTTGTGGAGAGTGCCGCGCTGTGCTGAAAGTACCATGAGTGTAGATCTTTCCTTTAAGTTTTTTCTGTGTTGCGTCATCTATCAAAAAAAAACAAAGCCTCTCGGCGCCGCGTTTTCTGCGACTTATACTGACAACTGATTCACCTCTAGCGATCTCTCTCTCTCTCTCTCTCTTCTCCTCTTTTTAACTAGTAACTACTAGCTCAGTTACACGCTTTTGTTTATGTTCTATGTCCTCGTCTGTAGGATCAAGGCAAGCCAGCGAACTGACCTTAGGAGATAAAACTTCTTTTTCCCGCACAGTTTGCCAACGGGCTTATTCTCATGAGAATCTCATAAACAAGCAACAACGTATTTAATCCTTCAGATCAAACAATTAGAAGCGAAAACGAAAGTTCATTGCAGGTCAAGTAGAAGATCAGAGGACCAAATCAGCATGCCCATTAATGGAATTTATGGTGGGATAAAAACTAATTGATTTAAGCGTTGCACCCATTACAGCAAAGAGCTGAAAGATAAAATCGTAAAGTAATCCTTCCTCCGATAGAGATTTAACAAACGGACAAAAGGAGCCATTTCTTGGATGTTCCACTACATAATCGGGTTACTTTAAAGATTTAATCTATTTAAAACGATTAGTAAATTGTGCTCTTGACTTCAGAACTTCAATCAAAGCTGACGTCTCGGGAAAATGATGATCATCGTGTGTAAGTTTACATATGATGCACGATCCTCGCAGTAGATAGCGCTATTTAAGCAATAGCGAAAAGCAGACCTGAAAAAAATCAGGCCTGTACGGACCTGAAAAAAATCAGGCGCTATCTACTGCGAGGATCGTGCATCATATGTATCTAATACCGCAGTACAAAATATGTGAACTTTGTATATTTTCGTTGTATCTCATTTATCACTTTCACGGGTTTATTACGAATCAACTTAACGGCCTGCTCCCAGTTGGCTTGTTAGCTCAATTGGTAGAGCGCTGCACTAGTATCGCAGAGGTCAGTGGTTCGAATCCCGTACAGGCCTGATTTTTTTCAGGTCTGATTTTCACTATTGCTTAAATAGCGCTATCTACTGCGAGGATCGTGCATCATATGTATCTAATAGCGCAGTACAAAATATATGAACTTCGGGTATTTTCATTGTATCTCGTGTGTAAGTTTCTAATAAAACTTGTACTTCCGGTACACGCATTCACGTTACTCTATCTACTTCACGGCAAGAAGAAAAAATTAGTCTAATTGAAGTATTTTAGTTTCTTAGATATAACAGATTGATCTATTTAGAATGACATATTTTATAACGTCGGCTATAACCCTCCCGAACAATAACCAGGCAATGGCAATACAGAGTGCCTTTAGAATTGTATTGTGATAGCTATAAATTTTGCTCATGGTTACTTAACTTGTAGTGGAGGTTTCTCTCTTAGCTCATTGGTACAGCGATAATATGCGATTAAACGTGCTAAAAACTGAGTGGGGAAACTTAAAAAACGTTCCTCATCTCACTTCAAGTATGACCTAATTTCAATCTTCTATTGATCGCTTTTTACCGATGCATCGTCCATCTGAGCATCATCAGGAAAGCAAGCAATTCAAACGACTGAAATAAAGTGAACAGAGACACATAAGCGACAAGCGATTAGTGCAATACAATGACACACTGATATCAAACTTAAGTAGAGCAAATTGACCTCTTACAGTCCTCACCGGCAGAGCTGTGTAATGTTGTCGAGCGAGTGCTCAGTAAATTCTTAGCAAAAATTATGGCCGTCATCTTTGATTTTAATGGAAGCGAAAGACTGTGGAGAATAAGAAATTTGTACCAATTTCGCCCCCTCCCTCCCCCCTCCCCTACCGTCGACTCTAACACCAAATCAAACATGGCCGGTTTAATAAACGATTGCGCGCCTCTTAACGTTAACTCGCTCTACTACTTAAGACGCTCACATGGCAGACTGTTATAGTCCTTATGCCTGAAACCTATACCAGCAGCGGCGACAAGTTGTTTATCTTCGAAAAATAATGTGATGCTATTCCAATACATTAGAGGCTTCCCAGTTATAATACAGAAAGTTGCTCGAATCTTACCTCCTCTTTCGGCTGCTCTGGTGGAGTCCCATCTCCAGCCTGTCGTCAATGCTAAAAGGGATAAAAAATCATGATCAATTGATGGGAAGCTGATACCTACACAATTTAGTGAAAAGGATAAATGATCTTACTGGGCCTGCTATTCCATAAAGAAAGGTCGGAAAAAAGGTTCAGAGAATATAAAAAATAACGTATGCATCAGGATGCGAAGATGACAAAAATGTGATCGGTAGCCTTTTACGCCGGATTTTCCTGGTTTTTTTTTTATAAATCTATCTACCCGAACAACGCAAATGTCTCAGTTTAGGGCGAAACACAACTGCGCGTTGAGCTAGGAGGAGTCATAAACGGCGCTGAGGGTAATTTTATGTTCAAGTCTATTTACGTTAACAGACCTTTTTTAACAGACTTATTTTTGTCATGAAATAGGTTGTTGTTCATCGTGGTAGCTGGATGGTACTATAAATTAAATTCTGTTGATTCACGACAAAGTCACTAGATGTAGGACGCAACGTTTAGACTAATTACTGCAAGTCTTCTTAAGGCGATTCATCGTCATTGTAGCTAAGAGTGGTGCCCCATTAAATAAAGAATTACTTACTTTTTCACTTACTTATTATTTTACTAATTTTTGTTAAGAATCAACTCTCGAAAGCTCACCTGTTGTTTCCTCTATCTTCTCCGTCACAAGGCAATTTTACATAAACAAGTTTGAAGTTGGGGCTAGAGTCATTTAATCCAACAGCTACGAGTCGCTTATTCCGGCAAGCTGCTACACAGGACCACTCTCTTTCCACATGAAGGACACTGAGTAAGTCACCAGACCTGACACTGAAGAGTCGAAGACGCTTAACTCTCCTATCAAACGAACTCACAACAATTTCCTCATTACTGATAAACTGGAAGCCAAAAGGAATAGGCAAGCAGGCTATGCAAAAGAGTGTGATTCCCGAAACTGCATTAAGGACCATCAAATCCTCTCCAAACCACTGCCTCTGCAGAATGACAAGACTCTCATCTGGAGAAAATAGCCCGCACAAAACACTCATATCCTTTTTCCATAAAACAGTTTTATCATCCGACAGCTGAACCGTTTGATTATCAGAGGTTAATACGTGGCATTTACTGTTGCATGCAATGCAGTGCACGTGTTTTCCATGTGTAAACATCGTTGCTTCAATTTCACCTGAAACTGTATTTACGATGTTCAACTCAGATGTGTCTTTAGCACATGGCACACGTTCTTCAGAGGTTATCACGTGGCGTTTATTGTTGCATGGAATGCATTCTTCTTTATGTGTAAACATTGTAGCCTCAATTTCATCCGAAACTGTATTTACGATGTTCAACTCAAATGTGTCTTTAGCACATAGTACACGTTCTTCTGATACTAGGATAATATCTGCAATTTGGCGCAAATCGGACCACCGTCGAGTGCACTTAGACAACTGAAAATTCCAGAGTTCAAGTGTGCGTCCATTTGTCGCCAAAAGTACACCATCTCTGACTGGTACAAGCCAAGTTTGCTCTGTATTTTCCGGTAACCTCTTCTTTGCTGCGAGCTCTCCATTCCTTACGTCCCAACCCAAAGCCCAAGGTACAGCAGCTTCAATGACGATGTATAAAGTCTCTCCATTCAAAGAAAATGCCACGTTGTTAACGTTGACTTGAGTGGAGGAAATAGCTGCTGGGTCTGTAGGACTATTGGCATTCAGCATTAAAATTCTGGTGGATATTTTATACACTCCAAGTAGAGTGTTTTTATCCAACAAAAACTCTGTCGATGGTAATGTAATATGCGGTATCCAGGGAAGAGGATCTCCAAACAAAAAACCACATTCACACAGTGAATCGTACCTTCTGCCTGGAGTCTTTTCCAAAGGAACATCTGAAGAAGAGATTTGGCTAATATTCTCTCCATCGACATTCAAAATGTACCTTTTTGAGGAAATCAAATCTGCTGTAGACTCGTGCAGGCATATAAGGTGTCGATGAACAGGAAAGAACTTCATCATTCCGCACACTTCTGGAATTCTTGTTTGTGCCAGCGTCTTAAAACTGTCCCTGACATCAACCAAATCAACAGAGCCAGTTGAGTAAGAAATTGCTAAAATACTTCCACTTCGAGACCAAGCAAAGGACAGCACATCTTCTTTTCTTGTTGTGCGAGAAATCTCTGAACCGGACACTAGACTCCACAAAACAATACATTTAGCGTCATGTGGACTATCCGTTAATATGGAGGCCTTGTCCCCAGAAACGGAGCAAACTGCAAACTCGCATTGACTTTTGGGAAAAAGTGGCCTCAGATCTCCCTTAAAGGTATAAGCGTGGCTGAGAATGCCCGGTAAGACAACTTCCTGGGTGGGGTGAAATACAACGGAGCGGTAAAGACATAACACCTCTGAAGATGGGACCATTCTATACGCACGTTTAAATTTCGGCCGAAATCGCTTAGCGACAATCACGGCACGATTCCAAAGAAGTTTGCCTGTGGTCAACGACCAAAGTTGAATGGTGCCATCCTTACATTCACAAACCATGTAGTCTCGATGTGGTGAGACGTCGAAACAGGCCACTGCAGACGACGTTTCAAATTGGGCTTTCATCGTTGTCACCTGGTTGTTCCTATCCTGGGACATGTACACCATACATGGTATCTTGGAATACTTTCCCGTCAAAAGGGTTAACGCTTCAGAAGACAGATCAGGACCTCCTTCATTCAATAGGGTTTGGAAGATCACATGAGGTAGCTGTGTTAACTCAGCGATGAACTTTCTCAACAAGAACAACAAAGTAGTGAGGGCATTCTGTACTTTCACATTCAACTTATCAAAACACGATTGTTTTTTAACAAAAACGATGTCTTCTGACGCGGCTGTATTGTCTGCACAAATTTTCAAATACACAAGTTGTAAGTCTATCACATATTTCTTCACAATTTCTTCCAAAATACTTTTGTTAGAACAGTTTCCCATTTCCAACATGTGTTGAACACCATGCTGCAAGGCATACTTGATGGTGCTGTTAAACGCTTCGCTTTGTACATCTTTATGTTTAACATCGTCAAGTTCCTTGGCACAAAGTTTAGAGAGAACACGATGGCCTTCCGTTTCTTCCACAGTGAAATCGTGTTGCCCATAAGAGGTCTTGTCAGTCAACCAGTCTTTAACTGACTTGTGAAAGAAGTAAATACGGTCATCTCGAACAGGTAACAGAGATGAAATGCATGTGATTGCCTTTCTTACTTTTCGCCAATCAGCTAAAGAGTTTTTAGCGGTCAGGATAATTTCAGTAATGAAAGCTATCGGCAAAGGTTCTCTTGCAGACACGAGTGCGCTTAGGAAGGTTAAGAACTGCTCCTCTTTGATGTTCAGTTCTCTGGAAAGTTCATCTTCCAGACGCTGGAAATAGGTTTGGTACACAGAGGAAATGCCGGAGGGTAACGTACTGTCCAAATTGTCTGGAGTAAGGAGACGCACGTTCTGACTTAAAAAATCAGCTAGCAAATAGGCATATAAAATAAGTCCTTCGGATTTTTTAACCAGCTCAGGTATGACGGTTTCCTGATAACCTTGCTGAATCAAATGACTTAGTTTCTTTTCAAACAACAACCGTAAGTCCTTTAAAGACTCTTCATCGTCTGGCTTCAACTCAAGAGGTTGGAATTTCTTGAGCCTTTCTGAGATGTTTATTTCTGAACGAGTTGTAATGAGAAATCGAATCCAACATGGAAGTTTGCTAAAGTGGTCAGAGATAAGCTCTAGCAGCTCATTTCGTCCGCGGTACTCACTTTCATCCAATCCATCTATCACTATAAGAATGTTTTTGTCAGGGGCTTTGAGGCTTTTGAGAGGTACTTGAAAGAGCAATTCAAATAGCTCTTTTACCTCCGCGTTGTTAAGCTCGACCCCCAGATTCCTAGAAAGTGAATTGACGATGGCTTTCTTGTACTCAGGTAGGGATTCTGACAACTGGCTTGCCAAGGACTGGAGCATCACTTTTGGATTCCTGTAGCGCGCCTTATCATGCTGACAAAAATGACTGCATGACAATCTGCCAGCTTCTWGTAGTTTTTTGCAGACAACTGCAGAGATGACAGATTTCCCGATCCCTGCATTTCCACTTATCACGGTCACACGATTTTGAGAGCCTCTATCGTCCAACCAATTCTCTACCGTCGTGATAATGGACACACGAGTTCCTTCTAGATACCTTTCTGTGTGGTATTTGACTTCTTTTTCTGAGTCAACTTTTGCGATTTTTGTTAGGATTTCATTCTCTTTCTGATTTCTAGCTTCCTCTGTCGCATTTTTCTCTCCATGCTCAATGTGCTTAAAAGCTTCAAGGTGCCTTTCTTGATTTCGTAGGACCTTCTCGAGTTTGGATTTTGTCTCGTCAGCTTCTTTGTAATCTTCTTGATGCAACTGATGCAATTTATGGATAGCTTCCTTTGTGTCAATTTGAGTCTGATGTACCTCTCTCAATCTGACTGTGCTATCGTCGAGTACTTTGAGTGTTTCCAACTGCGTCTCATGTACCACTTTGACGCATTGGTCTGATTTTGTTTGTAACTGAGACATCTCGTCAAGTTTGATCTTACTTTCCGCTAATGTTCTCTGATCGTTAATTTGAATTTGACGTAGTTCTTCGAGGCAATGTCGCTGTTCTTTCATTCGTTTGCGTTCTTTACACCGGAAACTGTGTATCTCGTCGAGTTTAATGTTGCTATCCTGAACTAACTGGTGACCTATCAGCTGAGTCTGGCATATATCTTCAATACTTTTTTGCACTCCAGTTTGCGAGTGATGAATGTCATTCAACTGTGACTTGATTTCTTCTTCACTTTCACACCATTTAAGTAACAGGTCAAGATATTCCTCCTCTCCACAGTTTTCCGCCTTTAATCGATCCACCTCTGCCTGATTCAAACCAAGAGTAACAAGCACAACACTAATATCATGCCACAGAGAGGAGAAAGTGAGCGAGTCGATACTAGTCGCGGACACGTGGCCATACAGCTTATTTCGGAAGAGCTTCACTCGAACGAGGTTCGCTTCAAGAGAGGTGTCACCGGGAGAAGGCTTTGCATGCCATCCAAGTGGGGGAGGGGATAGTCCGCATATATTAGTAAGAAGAAGAAAGAGAAGAGTAATATCAAAGGTTTTGGAATCTGGTGAAGCTCCCCCGTGTGGGAACAACTGGTCCCACTGAGCAACTCGCAAGACCTTTTTCTTTAACAAACTACTCAGGAGTGAATAGTTAGCACTGAGACCTGCAGATAGCTGTAAAGGAGGGTGATGAGTGTCGAAAATCTTTCGTAACACTGTTGTTCCACCATCGATTATAAGTCTGCTGAGTTTGCTTCCATTTGTCGTCTCTTCAGAGCTGGCCAGTGACGATGGTGCAGCGGCTGCCATCTCTTAATCTACTTCAGGGCCTGAAATCTCTATAAAAAGCACAATTGGGACGGAAAGGGTTAAATTAATCAACTCTAACAATGTTGTCGTTACTGATAGACGAAATGAACGTATCAAAACCTATCCGTATACGGTCATAAATATATGTCGCGAAATGCTCTTGACATGAGAATTATAGTTGAAGAAATTGATTATGTGCCTAGTCATAACGTTCGCTAGGTTGTTAAAGATTGTAATTATGCATTCTGGGGTGTTCAAAGAACTGTCAATAGCATTTGAATGCAAGAAAGCTTAATTGATGAAACGAAATTAGGAAATGTGTCAAGGTGTTCTAAATGCTGCTTTCAGCAATGACCACTTTACATCACCCCTTTGTTTTGTAACGCTGTAAAAATTTTCCCCCAATTCTAAAGAGCATGAACATGTTTGGACATGTGCGTCATAATGGGTCTCGAGACACCTAGCTTAAGAATTTTCTTTTTTTGTTGGTGCTAGCTCCCACGTACATAGTGTTCGGATCCACTCTCGATTCGAGCTCCAAAAAAACAGTTCAATGAATTTGAATTTAAAGTTTCTATGTTTTCACTGAACGATAAAATTTAAATCGAAACGCTCCCATTTCTAAATCTCGAGAGCGCAATTTTTGGTAGAAAGAGAAAATGGGTAACCTTGAGGTTGTTATTTTGCGCTTTCGGTCATATTTGGATCTGTTTCCCGTGTTTACAACAAAAATTCTTTCGTTCTTTGATAAAAAATAAGACACAAACAGCGGTGATAAACATCTTGAACTTGCACATTTTGATTATGACTTGACGTTTCGTATGTACTCAACCTACATTTTAAAAAGTAACCGTTGAAATTTAAAACAGCTATGTATATATAGAGATATATATAACTAAGGTGGGGGGATTGGAACCAAGATTAAGCCAAAAAACTTAACAATAAACAATAACACCAGAGCAGATTAATAAAGCAACAGCTTTTCACTTCCGACGTTCACGTTTAAAGCTGGCTCAAGCTCTTGAGTAAGTAAGGACTCTTTGATTTTACAAGAGTAGTCTGTTTTGGCCTTCGCCAAAATATCAAAATGATCCCACTTCATATTATGTCCAGGCCTTGACGTGGTCAGCAATGACTGAAGTATTGTCATTTTTAGCGAGAGCCTTAAAATGTTCGGTTTTTCTATCGTGAAGCCGTCGTTTAGTTTTACCAATGTAACAATCATTACAATCCCAGAAATTTGCTTTGTAAATAACTCTGGATTGTTGTGAACGATTAATACGGTCTTTGTAAGGAAAGAAAGATTTTATGCCCCGATCGAGTGTTCTGAAAAACGATTTTTAGGTGAACACCAAAAGAACAGAATTTGTACACACATGATTTCAGACGTTTAGCGACTTGGTTGCTTTGCAAACCCTACTTAGGTTCGTATTTGCTTTTTGAGCTTTATGAACCTTAACTAGGTCCATGCCCTAGCACTCTGTGGCCGGCTTAGGATATCTAAGATGTCCTAAATTTAGCTGTGCAAATTTTTGGTCTTGATGGTTGCGTATGTGGTTAAGTTAATTTAGATTTGTTTCAGTTTTATTGTGGGATGCGATTTTAAGGGTGATTTTTGCGGTTTGCAGAGCACCATTTGAAAGCTATAAAAATTTGCAAGGATGGACAACTTCTGACGTAAAAATATAAAAGTTGTAATAAAAAACGTTTCGGTCAGAGACCTTCTTCAGTTATTTACAACTTTTGAAATAAAAAAAGAGCATTAAATAGGATCGAAGTGCTAATGACTACATAATTACAGATAACGACTAATGAACTAGTGCTAATAAAAAAAAAATAATTACAAAGAAAGCAATGGAAAAAATACAAGGAACAAACCCTGAAAACTAAGAGATAAGAATACTAAATATGTTAATATAAGTGGCGTAACCAATTGCAAAGAAGCAATACGGCGAGCATTAAAAAAGGGAAGGCCCACTTTTTACTACAACTGTATACCGTAACAAAATCCCAAAACAAGGCCTTTGGAGCCCGAAAGGGCAAATTAGCAACAAAATCCCTGGAGGGGCCCTTAAATGATACTAATCATAATAAGATCCCTTGGCAGGGCCTCTGAGTCCAATCCACACCTAAAGGGCCGACAAAATCCAAGAAAAGGGCCTTTGAACGATCAATTAGTAGCGCCTAATTTAAGATGGAAAATTAATTATAGCAAATTCTATTTTTTGAATGAAATTCCTTTCTTTTATTCAAACCATGGGGTGCCAAAGAGAACAACTGAGCACTCCAATAAGCCTCTTTTGTGATTAACAGCCTATCGATCTCTGCAGAGCCACTAGGGGCCTGTACCTGATCAATGCATTGGAACGAAAAATCGTCCAGGGTGTGTGGGGTTTTGTTGAAGTGTATCGCTACACTATCNATATATATATATATATATATATATATATATATATATATATAAAGTGTGACTTGATTTTCGTAGAACAGTGCTCAATACATAGAAGTAGAGCGAAGTATATATTGTGGGAGGAAAAAGACAAGTAAACTACAAGTTCATCCCTACAAGCCTGTTTCGTGGTCGCCCACTCCTCAGGGGATTTCGAATCCACTATACATATATATATATGTATGTATAGTGGGGGAGGGGTGAGGTAGTGAATAGCACGTGGACATACTAGTTCCTCTTTTTTCTTGTTGACGCTGTTGTTATTATTAAAATTAAAATAGCCCTTCCGCGTTAGTATTTCCTCAACGATTTGGACTCAATGGACTTCAGAAACCGCTCATATATCCACAATCCTCTCGGGTAAGGCCAATAATTATATTTTATACTTATGTTTTATATAAGACAATGTACACTTCGGGTAAAAAAAGAAAAAGCTTTTTTGTGAAAACCAAGTACAAAGGGAAAATAGAATTTTGAAATGTGGAATCCAGCCACTTATGGAATCCAGAATCCACGAATGTGGAATCCGGAATCCACAGACATGGAAACCGGAATCCACAGCGTGGAATCCGGAATCCAAGACTCTCTTGGATTACCTTACATTGGGCGAAATAATGATCAGTAACGATGACCTAAATCACTCCTAAATCCGCTTCATAAGTTGTGCATGTGATCACAACCGAAAGTTCGGAAAGATAAAAGCATACTCTATCTGTAAAACTTTTCAGTGCAGATGATTAGAAAGCTAAGAGAGATGAAAAGTAAAGATGGCTTTTTGAAAATCGATATGTTTGCAGTTTGTTTTCTTTCGGTAACTGGTGTGACATGGCGATACTGGCGTCAAAGACAGTTACGACACGGCAATGTCATAAACGTAAGCGACGTCACGCACAAAAATAGCAACCAAAGAAAGCAACGTCACGCACAAAAATAGCAACTAAATAAACAGCATTATGTTTGAACATAATTGATACTGCAGTTGTCGACGGACAAATCCTGGGGGAAAATAATATTTCGACCTTTGCCGCTTTTGAATGAATTCTATTTACAGAGGATGATGTTTTGATTGTTAAAACCAGTTTCTCTTCTTTATCTTGTACTCTGCATCGATGATAATAGCAGTCAGCCTCAACGTTAACTCGTTTCGTCAAGTCATTAATAAGCAGCTTTCATAATTGCCCTCACAGCTCTAACATTCTTTTCATTTTCTATCAAGATTTTTTCAGTAACGAGTCAACCTCGTGCCTTCTTTTTTCATCTACATTTATGCACTCATTTATCGGTGTAAGTCAAGATATACATCGCACTTCTCTTGAAACGTTTTTCTGCATTGTCTAACGCATTGCATTAATTTCGAGCCTCATTTCACAGAGACGTCAATATTCGTCTCAATGCACGATGACGGAGTAAACTGAAGTCGCTTTGTGTCACACGATGCTACTCAAGCAATATCGCCAATACATAATACTCGCTTGGTTTTAAACAAGCAGATTTTCTAGCTCTTACCGATTCGGTAAATATTGTAGTGGAATAGAGTCGTCCTAAACTTACGGCTTTTCCAAATTCGTCCAGCTATAGGTTAACACTGTCTTGCGATGACACAATGAACAATGTCAAAATAGAAAGCAGATGGCTTGTCGACCTAAAATTACAAGATCAATTTGCAATTCTGCCGGCCGTAGTTTAATACTGCCTCCTTCAATTTAAAACCCCAAAAGAGCAAAGGAGACATGTTACACTTTATAGAGAACAGTTGACTTGTAGAAATTCTCTTACTTATCAAAGAACACCGATGTCCAGGTTGATGAATAACCTTTCGGCGGACTTAAGACATCACAGAGGATAATTCATGTTTACTGGGGTAGACATGCATTCTGTTGACTTTATTTATGGCTTGCGTACCAGATACTCGAAGAATAATTCATAAAGAGACACCATTGGAGAGAACAGAAGACTTATCAAACACATAGAAAAACGGGTTACCTTTTGATTGCTTGTGTATCCAGTATTTCTTGTACGTTATCTCTCTGACTCATACCTTTCCCTTCGTCTATTACTTCAATAGGGAGTTTAAGCAAATCACTACGGCTGGCGCTGCTACGGCTATCGTGGTTGACGAGGCTTGGGGAGAGTACGTCGCCGCAGCCCGCCAAAATTCAACTTTAAGCAAAGCGAACTACAAACCTAGTACGACTGAGAAGTTTAAAACCAATATGCGTCTTCGCGGTAGTTTTTGCTCGTCGAAAATCTCTGAATGAGATTTTAGACGAGTTTTAGTCCTACGATGGACTAGCTGTTATAGAACGTTTACACCCATCATCAGGATTTTGCTTGCTTTGTTATATTTCGCATGATTAGCGGTGCACTGAGTGAGTTATTGGTTCTTTACCTCTAATAGAGACCTGTAGAATGTAACCGGAAATATTGACAGAGAATTCGTAGAACGATCGACAAACAATGATGTAATTAACTAGATAATTGCTATTGAAACCGCGTGTTAAGATTAACGATAATAAGATTTGTCTAACAGACCCATGCAACAGGAAT